AGAGAGAGAGAGAGAGAGAGAGAGAGAGAGAGAGAGAGAGAGAGAGAGAGAGAGTCACAGTTGTGCGCCGCGGAAGGCTGGGTAGCATGAAAAACTCGGGTTTACCTCTTTGAGTATGCAATGCGAATCTATGGATTTCATTAAGAAATGTGTGTGTTGAGGACTTTGATTTGTGTGGCAATGGTTGCTCGCGTACTAGTGTTTTTATTATCTTCTGTGTGGGATTCTCGTGTCGACTACGGGTGAATGGTCATCCCAATGTCGTGCACATCTTCTCACGTATGGTGTCCATCACGTTGTGTCCCAAATCGTGGATGCATTAACATTGCCACCGCCTGACAAAACATCACCACAAAAAGAATAAAAAAAAATGAAAAATATAGAGAAAAAAAAAAAAAAAAAAAAAAAAGTGCGATAGCGATGCTGTTGCTGAAAGGACCGAAATGTCACGAGGTGAATTTGTTTTTTTTCTTTTGGCATGCAAGTCCTATGTGGAACAACAACGCATCGACGATCGACATTACGAAATGCAAACAAACGCAGACGACATACATGGCAGAAGTACCATACACGAGACAGTAAAACGAACCCGTCGTTAAAAACGACAAATCCGGAGGCAAGAAGACGACCTTACACACATGTCCAAAAGAAAAACACATTCTTTTAATTGACAAAGGGATTCAGCGCTTCAAGAAGCGCTCGTCCAAAGCAACCAAAATTTTTTAAGCCCGTGCAAACATGGATAAGCACGTGAACCTCCACACCGCATCGGGCCGACCTACCTCCCCCACCCAACGTGCCAGACTTGCGCGCCGCCCTAACCACCGTGACCCGCCACCACACCTCCTCCATTCCCCCAGCCCAAGCCCTGTAATCGCCAGAAACCCGACGAAAGGAAAGGTATGGTGAAACGAGATAAGAAAAGTCTGAGGAACAACGAAAGTCCTCGTCACTACAAGCATCCACCCCGGTGATCGACGAACAAAACAACCTCGTTAATGTCGTCCAGAATTATGAAGACGACCAAACAAGTCGTCCGCGATGGAAGAAACGTCCAACACACGACAATGGAGGATGGTATACCATCCGCTCGTGAAAGTTTACGAAGCGAGCACTCCAGATCGACAACGGCGGGACACGACATGAACAAAGTCTTCATCGTGAGAAACAACCAGGTCATATCGCGGATCATATGTGCTTCATTTGCTCTGCTAGAGCATTCTGGAGCATGATCAACTCGGTCGTGGAAGTGGAACTGCTGAGTGGCTCCGGGGGAAGATGAAATCCCAGATGCACTCGGCGTTGCACCCCGTTCTCGTCAACCTCCCATAGCAGCAGATTCTCGCCGAACTCGATACCAGCATTCAGGAGAATGTTGTGTAGAATGCAGACGGCTGTGAACTGCTGCAGTAGTGTCTAGGCTGGTCGTGTGGGTCCGTAGGAAGAGCCTCCACATCCCCTTCAACCGCCCGAGCACCCTCTCAACAACCCCTCTTGCGACCTTCTGCTTCGTGTCAAAACTTTCCCCGTCGGGGGGCTGATTGATTCCTCTGTAGGGCACCCCTACCCATTCAGAAGGAGGGTACCCATTGTCGCCCAAGATGTATTCGTTCGTTATCCCGCCCGGCAGCGTAACAAGCGGCCCACGAAACAACGTTCCCTCTTCCGCGTGCCGCGACAGACTAGACAGCTGGATCACCCTTATATCATGGCAGCCCCCGGGATACCCAATGAACACGTCTAGAACTCGCAGATCCAGGTCGACCGCGACCTGAGCAACGACATAGAAACGGTGTTTGCGGTCGAAGTAGTTCTCATTAGGGGCGTTCGCCGGTTTGTCGACGTAGGTGTGTGTGCAGTCGACCGCGCCGTGAATGTTGGAAAAACCCTTCTCCAAAAACGCTCGTGTTTTCACACCCCCGTAGGAAAGGAAATCTTGTCTGCGTAGACCCTCAAAAACGCAGATATGACCTCACTCATGGTGAGAAGTCCGGAAGCTCTCCCTATTCCAAAAGAGGAAGTGTTGTTGTTGTACGTCTCTCCCGTAGCCCACTTGTACAACGCGTACGCACGATCTGCAGCGGCTGCAGCGGGTCCCTGTAGAACATGACCTATCGTTATGGATGTGGAGCACAGGCTTCGCTGATCTCCATGAAAACTCGTCTGGACATGCGGAGCTTTTCCCCAAAGTAGTTGTCAGTCGCGTCATCGCACACCCGCATATCCTCCCAAGTGCCTCATGTTCTTCGCTTCATCCACCAACGTGGCGTCGCCCGAGGAAGCACACCAGACTCGATTGCAGTGCACAACTGAACCACGGCCTCCTAAGTGCTAATGCAGTCCGGGGCGTCCACCACCCTCTGCACCAGAAGCCTCTGCCGCCGCCTCGAAAGCGTCACCTTCATGCGCCCTGCCATCCTTTCAACTTGGTTGTGGATCACCACTGCGAGCGCAGGCCCCGCGACCACTGTCTTCTCCGTCGTCAACAACACACGGCGACCCTCGCCACAACCCTCCATCGCGCCCTTCATACTGGAAAACGAACGCCCGCCACCTGCCGCCACCACCTATGCGACCACAACGATGGCACGCCTGCAATTCTCGCTCCACCACCCCCGTTGAGCGATGTCCTCCCCGATGGAGGTGTCCGTCTGCCGCTGCCGACGTGCAGAACCGCCATGTGCGGGCATGTACTGACTGTACACGAGGATTGTCCCTCTCTAGTTTGCCGCGTCGACTAGACCATAGACCGTGGTCGTGTGTCGCCACTGAAGTACGCACCGATTTCGAATTTCGAATTTCAAACGTCGGGGTGTTTCCTGCGTTCACAAATTTTATTTTAGGGCCCGTGACGCGATGTCACCGTACGCCTGCTGGACAACGACACCTCCTTGTCGGACATCTCGAATCGGAGGTCAGATAACCCCCCCACGGCCGTGTATAATCTCATGAAACGGGCCGCGAGAGGGCCCCGAGGATTCGTCCTCGGAGCGATTTTCCAAGGACAGGTGGAACGAGGCCTCCACAAACCGAGAAATTTTCGAGGATTCGTCCTCCGCGTTCGAGGACGCGCTGAGGAGTGTCAAACGACGCTCTTATTTCAGGATTTAAAAAAAGTAGAAAGAACCTCCAGATATTTTGGAGCACAAGAAGTGTGACTACGTGCGGTTCATGTGCGATGCAAGTGTTAGGGCTGCAACTCTGTCTTTTCTGCACACGGAACACGTGTGTGACCACAAGAGCACCCAAAGAAGCAAATGCATGGATCCAATGTCACAGATATTGGCAACTTTAGGTCCCCTTGTGAGTATGCCCTGAGTGGTGGAAACTGCCACGTTACCGTAGATGCACAGATCGAGCGGCTGACGGCCGTAGCTCAGGCCCGGACCCCACTGGAACTCCTTTGTAAAGATGTTTTCACGGAATGGTTGCCGGAAGAGTTTTGGAAAGTTTGGAAATCCTTCTGCGGGGACTCCACCGCGGATGGAGTTTTGCCACAAAATCTTGAAGAAGTTTTCCGT